AAAAAATCAAAAATCGTAAAATTTATTTGTAAAACGAAAAATATTTTTGTGATGATATATTTTTATTAGCTTTTGTATTTTATATAATATTTAAAATTGTTGCCTCCGTTGAAAAAAATTTCTGGATCCGCCACTGTTCATGGGCTCCTTGTTTTTCTGTAATCAACAGACGAGGCTCGAGGGATTATCTTCAAACAAGGCCGGACAGTTCGCAGTTGTGATAGAGGTAATTTCTGTTGTGTTAGATTCTTTTTTTCCCCCTCGAAATTGGTTGCTTCTATTGAAAGTTATCTCTTCAACAACCGAGTTCTATCTTCACGCAGATTTACGAAGTGGCGCCGTCTCTTTTCATGGTAGACGTCAGAAAAGCCGCCGGTGAAACTCTCGAATACCACAAGGTTAGTCAAACTACCACTTTACAAAGCCTAATCCAGATTCTGGTTCTACGTATAATTGTTTGAAACGGCCTTTCAGGATAGATGAATCATATAAACCTCGAATGCTTACAGAACTTGATCAAGTAATTTCACTCTTAGAACTCCAAGAACGCATGTCAATCCTAAATCTAAGTTCATGTGAACATTACTTTGCTTTTACGCATATATAATAAACCAGCACGTCCCGAAGTTTTAGGATTTAAGCGTTAATACATGAATGAATGATTGTTTCACATTCCGAGAATTTTTTATTTTTTGTGCCCGGACAATCTAACCTATCGAGACGACTCGTGTGGATGTTCGGTTTTTGCAGTTCTACAAGAACTTCTGTGCTAAACTTGTAAACATTATATGGAGACCGACGGAATCAACGCCAAGCTCAGACCTACTAAGAACAATGACTTGCTAAACCTTGTCATTATCCCGATACACGGTTCTGACCGAGACCTCGGTTATGTGTATTTTCGCTCCACGGGCTCTCGTGTTTAATACCCTTCTCAGCTACCCGACGTCGATTTCAAGTAAGTAATGTATAAATGATCTCTCTCCTATTCAGAGTTCTTCGCCGTTTTAGGGTACAAATGACAATAAAGAAAAAGGGTTATTTCCAGAGATTGGGTGGTGTGTGTGTGTTTGTGTTTTGAAATGATTCGAAGAAATGGTTTAAAAGACGATTGTTTCACGTTTCGTTGATGGATTCAGCTGCTAACTGTGCAGTACGACTTGTTCTGTCCTGTGAGAGAGAGATAACGCGGTTGTGATGCAGCGATCAGAAAACGTGGTTATAAATGTGGTTTAAACGCGACAAAAGATTGTGGTTGTCGGTTGCGATTGTATTGGTCCGCACATCTATTAATTTACATATGTGAGTATGAATGGCTGGCTGAGCGAAGCAAGAATTAGGGGGATTAGGGGGTGTTTCGGTTTTATAAAAATATGTATTATTCGGTTATAATATTATGTTCGACTCGGTTTTGATTCTAATTCAGTTCAGTTCTGGTTTTTATTAAGACAAATTTAGATTTTTTTTTATTTTTTTATTTTTTGGGTTTCTTAAAATTTGATTCGAAAAAAAATAATGCATTTTTGGGTACCGTTTGGTTTTCAAACGGCCCCCTAGGGAGATTTGAATATAAAATTAGAAAAAAAATGGAGAAAGATTTTCATTATCGGACAAAAAAGGTCGACAGCCATTTTTTTTTTAAAAATGAGTACAAAACATAAAATGTATTTTATTATATATACAGTAAAAATTCGCACCCTTTTCACATTCGACGGGAACAAAGAGATGATCGCCTTTGGTCTCATGAACGTTATAGGCTCAATCACTTCTTGCTACTTGACAACCGGTAACTAACTCATTATATATATATATATATATATCTTGATTTGATGATCAGACTTTAGTAATTGAGATCGAATTAGACGAAAGATATTCGTCGATTTTAACGTTAGAGATTGATTTTTCGACAAATGATAGGACCCTTCTCAAAGACAGCGGTGAACTACAACGCGGGGACAAGGACCCCGATGTCGAACATTGTGATGGGGTTCTGCATGATGCTTGTTCTTCTGTTCTTGGCCC